CAGGGACTCTAGCATGGACCGGGGACTTTTCTTCCGAAGGAAGGCGTGATCAGAGATTTCATGCCACAGAAAAACTGGAATTGAACCCACCTAACCACTACACCACGCGCCGCTAATGAATTATTATATTGTATTTCCTCTTTGTGTTATTCGACCTTTTGCTTCGCTTTGGAGCATTCGACCATTTGTTTCCCTTCGGTTTTTGTCCATTCGACCTTTCAACCTGCTTTGGATCATTCGACCTTTTGCTCTTCTTTGGATAATTCGACCTTTTGTTACAATTCGACGTTTAGTCCATTCGACTTTTTGTTCCTCTTTGAGCCATTCGACCTCTTTTCCGCTCGAAGTTTTGTTCATTTTTGAACTATTCAACCTTTTGTCTTCCTTCTCATCATTTGACTTTGTGTCCCCCTTCGCAAAATTCGACCTTTTGATCATTTTTCTCACAACTCCGCATTTGTGTCGGAAACAATACTCCACTTCATATTTTTCCTAGTAGGATAGAAATCTAACTCGTCATGGCCAGGCATGGAAAATAATTTATATTCATGTCGTGCATTCATTTACATTCATTTGGCTTTACCTTTTTTTCATAAATTTTTTTTTTCGTAAAGTGATGTACGAAGCTTTTGTATTTCTTTATATTAACTAAATTTTTAGGCAATAACTCAAATCTGTATCGCTTGTACAGGACGAACTGCTGAAAATCACAACTAACATTTGAAAATGCACAGATAAAAATTCTGAATTTTAATTATGATGTAAGCATTCATTCACGTAAACTTGTATTTCATTTCACGCAACTGAGCAACTTGTAAATAATGTTGTTTACAAAGATGGGTTTTTGTATACAATATTTGCTACATTGCATGAAATGTGTCAGAAGTTTATATGATATATAATGTAAACGTATATGATATGTGACGCTCCATTTATGTGCATCATATTGAACAGAAATTTACGCTACTTTTTCGAACTGTGTGGTCTAGGATGTGGAAAATTCAAATTAATTTGTTTTTAATTCGAATTCATTTCAGAACAGCTGACTTAATGGTATGTATGTAATTATTTATCAAAAATTATGTGTTAAATCCAAATAAATTATTATTTAGCGTACAAGTATGCAATTTTGTTATATTTTGAAAATCAATAAAAATATAAAAGCCTATACATTTTATTGAAGCAATTTACTACCTTACACTCTTTACCAAATTTATGGCTTTACTCCAGCTTTCTTTACAAAAATATATATGAAGGAAAGGGGTGCTAATAAAGATAACCTACACGGGAAAAAATCCTATCTCCGCAATGAGAAAAATGACTCATGATTTCATGAACACAGCGTATTTTCATGTTATGAAAATACACCATGAATAATATTCATGATATCATGAGCAACTTTTGCGTAACGCAGCAAACATTCCCAAAATCATGAATCATCCGAGTTGAAATCATGAGCTAAATTCATGGGTTTAACTTTTAACCAAAAAATGTAAAAAGAATAAAATAAAGCATCAAAGTGGATTCGAACCAAGAACCTTGAGATCACTAAACCCATACTTTGACCACTAGACTATCAGTATTTATATAAGCTGGAAGACAAAAAGCGTATAAGAGATACCTATGTAGTGCGGTCTATGAACACGGTTTGCCAAGTACGTGTAACGCTTGTAGCGGTCTTGATTCCACTGCATTATGAAATCATGAATTTCCATGACGAAATCATGAATCATTATTACGATTTCATGGAATGGCAAGTTTTTTCATTTCATGATTTTTTATTCATGAAAATGGAATCGGATTTGTTTCCGTGTAACCTAAACTGTGGCAGAAATAGCGCAAAATCTTTTTATAAAGCTGTGGCTATCAAAAGAGAAAGTCGATGAAGAGAATCGATCAAAGTCACTTACACATCTTTCCTTCTAACCCCCTCATATTAAAATATAAGGAGGCTGTTTTGAAAAAATATCGTTTTGTATTTTTTCATTCAGTGCATTTTTGCTGAGATTTTTTCTTTCAGTGCATTTTTGGTCAAAGAACATTTAATTACCTAAGGGAAATGGATGTAATGTTGGCCTAAATGCCCCATAATATGGGCCCATACATAAATTCAGCAATCGACTAAATTTTCATTAGCGACCAAAAATATTCATTAGTACCGTCCCAACGACGCGTTCATCTAGATAAAATTGATAAATAGCAGATTTTTAGCGATTAGCCCAATCTTAGATCCATAGGCCAACATTAGAGCCATTCTCCCTACAACTTCTTTTTGAATGTCATTTATTTCATTTCAAGCATTTTCATGTTTTGGTTTTTTGAAAAAAATTAAATGTTCTGAATACGCCTTTTTCAAAAGTTACTCCTGTCAAAAAAATCATATTAAATGAAAAATGCAACCATTGTTAGCAGCAAACAAATGAGTAATGTTTCATTCAAATAGGAAATGTTCATATCCAACCGGTTTGCGTTTTGGGCTGGAAATTCTCAATACTATCTGGAATGTGGCAACTTGTTGTCTGAATGTCATGTACGGTTTTCCAAAAACCAAAGTGTAAAGACTGCCCTTTTGAGAGTCGATGATATCTGGTTTTTTTTTTCCTTTGGTTTGTTTTTTCCGTCGATCTTGTTTTCCGTGCTGAGCACCAATGCTACCGACGTGCCAGGAAGGCAGCTCCCACATCTGGACCCTACCTATCGACCCATCAACTCATGAACCGGGGACCAACGGCTTTACTTACCATCCGAAGGAAGGCGTGATCAGAGATGTTATGCCTCAGAACATCCCGGCGGCGCCGGCTGGGATTGAACCCAGGCCTGCTGGGATGAGAGGTAATCACACTTACCACTACACCACCGGCGCCGTAAATGATATCTGGTTGTAAATCACGCAAAAAGTAAAGCTGGAAAACTGACGTCTAGGGCCTTCGGATATGGATCAGCATCGTATAGAAATCGAAGGAAATGAAATTCAGCTTGTGGAGAAAGCCAATAATTTAGGTTTCATCTTTCAAAGTGATCTGGAACGGGATGGTATGATCTCGGCTGTCTCCGCACGCTAAACAATTGTTCATTTCTTGCACCAGTCGATATCAAACTAAAGCTATTAAAAATCCTGATTCTCCCTCATTTTCTATTTGGAGACGTTTTGCACATTAGTCCAAGTGGTGCAGCGATGGATCGACTAGCCATTAATAACTGTATATGGTTCGAATCGTTTTTCAAAGGTTAGTCATCTTCAACAATCTTTGCTTGGTTGTTCTCTGCACAGGCTCTACGGTTATAGGCCTTGTCTGTTCATGAGGAAATTGTTGGTCACTCAAACGTCTAATGTTTTATTCGAGAAATTTTTACCTTCCCAAGTAACAATTGCCAAGGTTGTAGACTAATGAACCTCACAATTCCAACAAACTGTACAAGGTTTTATGCAAACTCATTCTTCGTTAGCGGTGTGGTCAACTGGAAATTGCTACCTTCAACCGTGAAACACTCTTCATCGGAAGCCATTTTTAAGAGAGGCTATTTAGATGGTTGGTATAGTAGATAAACGTCAGGAATTTTTGTATAATTATATGTTATAATTTAATGTGTCAACTTTTGTACTTCGGCTGTAGTAGTTTAAAAGTTTTTCCTTACTCTACTGAATAATAAACAAGCAAACTAACAAACAATCAATCAATATAGGTTTTTGGAGGAATACCCGTTCGAATTAAAAATCAATCAGACAACCTTAAAGGAATTGGCCATACGGTATTGTTGTTTAAATGTATATTAATTATATTTCAGAAAACGTTGCATGAATAACTGGAATGATATTTCACTTCGTATTCCCATCCAGCATAGTTCTGTTCTTTGGAAAATAATTATTATGTAATTCTTTTGATTAAAATGTTTATTTTAGCAAAATTGCTCAATTAACGCCGTTAAGTTGATTTATTTAGAACATGCTGCATGTTACGGTACTGGATAGCTTCATTCACATCATTCTTATCGGATTGGGCTCTCCGATATCCGTTGATGTGTCTGTGGTGACGTTTTGCCAGATCTGAGTTTTCTGAATCCCTCAGAGCCCGAGGACAACAACCTGCTACACACGTTAGAGGCGTTCTGGCTAGCAGTGATCTCGAATATAGACTTCTTTGAATGTCCAAGTATTACCCAAGAAACCACCAAGCCCGCTAACTACCCGATAATCGCCCTTTTTTGCGATATAAGGTAAATATAGCGTTTCCGAACTTTACATCAGTCGTATAGCAGCCTTATTTATATACCAAAAAGGGCGATTAACGGGCTTTTTGGTTACTTGGGTAGTGCTGATCATTTAGGGTTAATGATAGAATAGTGCAAGAAACGCACTTCTACTTATAATTCACCCTATTCTTGCACTCACCCTTAAGCATTCAGAAACCGTCAGAGAAGTTTAAATGGATTTATTGTATGATTTTCGCGACAGCCACTATTGCAGGATGTGGAAGAAAGCTAGGTTAGAACTTCCGTTCTTTTGCCAGCAATCCGAACAAAATGCATTGTGCATCATAATTGAAGCCATTAAATGCTCGTAATTGATTGTCCCCGTATCATACTTCAACACGTGAACAAAAGCACCCATCCGTTGCTGTCGTGACTAAACTCACCACGTTGAATCGCGATGATGCCGACCGGCAAAAGAAAACTCACCACTCGCAGTAAGCTGAGTGGTTCATTCCACCATTCACCTGTTTCTAACGCCATTCAACCAACGGTGATCGCTCGCCGGCTCGATCCCCCCAAACCAAATTCATTTTCGATGAACACGTACGCACTCTTCTTTACACGTTTAACAACAACGCATCGGCATCATCGTCGGTTGAGATTGAAAAAAAAAATCATCTCGCGGTGTCGATTTTGGCAGCATTCTGTCGTGCATTGTTTTTCGGACCAAACACGTGCACCAAGCACTGAGAGACACGGCGGTCGTGGCCCACGGGGTTCGTCGCTTACGACAGCAACAAGCAGTGAGCAGTGTTTTGGTGAGTCGACTTCGGTCCAGCAGTTAATTTGGATCCTTCAGTAGCAGTTGAGCTGTGCAGTGGCGCGGAAGCATTTCCAGTCGATTTCAATCAAGTGGCAGATTCGGGAAAGGTTTCCTGGGAACCGTGTGGGAAATTTTGAAAGTGAAAATTGTGGAAAATTGTTGTTCTTTTGGAAAATTTGCGTGCTGATTTTATTGCTAACGAAATTGTGAAAGTGTTTTTTTGCGGATTATTCTGAACCGCAATTGAAAGCTGTCAGTGGGAAAACAAATATTCAAATAATTGTGAGTTTACTGTGAAGATGCCATTCAGTGTGAATTGAGTGGAAAACAACAAATCGAGACAGCAACAAAATCTGATTTGAAGGGAGTTCAACCAGTTCAAACTACGAAATATTGATAGCAAGTGAGTAATGTACTCAGTGGAAAAAGCATATTGGTGATGGAAGCAAAAATATGATATTCATAAATGAGAATTGAATTGAGTGGAACAGTGGAAGTAAATTTCAGTGAACAAGTTCAATGAAGAAACAATTTGAGTTGCCTTACTGATGGAGTCGCGCGGTGATTCGAATAGAAACAACAAAGCATTCCTGAGTACCTATTGGATATCGGAAATGCAAACATTTGGAGGAGTAATATATTCAATGGACCCAACGAATCACTAAGCTGCTCCCCGGTTTAGCCCTGCTCATATGAACACATTTTTATTCCAAAGAAAGCGTAAGTTAATCAGATTCTTCCAATTATATCCAACAGAAAGTAAATCCGAACCTGATTTTGCATTGCGTAGATCTAATCCTTTCCCAAACTGAAACTTCCAGAAGTTCTCTGTCCATCTTACGTGGCACATCATGAACTAATTTCCCATGGTAAAATATCGTACCGAAGCTATATCCGGAAGGAAAACTTCGTGTCGAGAGATGTCAGTTATGCTTTGCATCCGCTTGTATTATTATGATTTTAACACTGTTGCGTCACTGTTTCGGAACCCTTCGATAGCCTAAGGCCCTAAGGGGTGGAACTTTTTGCCCGTTCAAAATCAGAGCAAAATCAAATTCAAATAGGACAAAGCGTCAATTTTCGTTTTGGAATTTTCCAATATTTTTTCAAGATGGTGACCAAACAAAAAGACCAGCGTTTAAAATTTCTGTACAGTATTCGTTAAGTGACAATCTTTCTTTGTGAAGGCTGATTTTAAACAGCTTGCAGATCAAGAATTTTACACTGCAACCGTGAGAGAAATGTTTCAGGGCATCTCATGCAAAATAATCAATCGAAATTTAATGAAAAATTGGTCTGTCAGGTGATTTGCACTGGTGAGCTGAAGTGTAGCTTTTTTTCCTTACCCTGACATCATCAATCAGAATATTTATGTGTGCGAGTGTTTCAACAGACGTTTATTGCCTTAATATCAAAACCACTGATATCCTGAGCTGTATTGGTCTGATCTCGCTCCTTGTCGTTGATAATAAGAAAACAATGAAAACAAAATGGCGTACATAGTCCAATTACCTTATTTCACAATAGTTGCTGTTGTGCAAAACTTAATTGAAGGGGTCTACCTATTGAATTCGTAGTTGGTAAATAGTAGAGTAAATTCAACTAGAGTAAGCTGCCAGAATAACATATAACAGATGAATTATTCAACAATATTATTTTTCTACACTTAAATTTTTGTGACTACTTTTTGCTCGCTCCACCCTTTAGTCAGTAAAGGAGCGGCATTATCATATCAGAGACGGTGTGTAAAATTATTCACGACGTACCAGAGACAGGGAATTTAATTGTGCTGGTTCTAAAGAGTACGAATTAAAAAAAAGTGTTGGTAATAAAGGCAAGCTTTTACGCTCCCTCCGCTATCCTAAATAACTAAACATAACACATTAACTAACATCCTCCTACCAAGGTGGAACACGTATCAATGAAATTTTTCCCAAGCAAGAGAAGGCATTAATAACATTTTTAAATGCTATCATAAAATATAACATATATGACATAAAATTGAGTCATAACAGTCGCGAAATTCCGCTCAATCAAACGGACTTTTCGTCGAATACCGAACTTTTCACTTAATTTTACATGACATGTTACTTTTAAATGTTTATGTCAAAGATGAATCCCGTCATTTACACGTGTTTAGTTATTTTGGGTAGATCTATTGTGCTACACTTCAATTTGATTTTTCCCCAAGAAGTTCTTCCATAATGAAATTCGTTGCCTTTGTTTAGTTCAGTAGACCATACACCGTTAGGCATTAGGACACCTTTGCGAGAACCCGGATTTTCCGCTCAATTAATGCACTGCATTGGCACAGTTGGCTTCAACTTCCAATTTACAGATGCGGCATGTATTATTTGACAGTTTACCTAATTTTTTTTAGGTGATATTTGCATGGAGCGAGTTCCTTTCAATAGACCTCTACCATACTTTGCCTTTACAACAAATTCATTGGCGTGATGTTTTCCACGCTTCCACAAGCGTCAAAACGTCAGGAGTTTTCTTTTCTTTCGTTGCAGCAGTTTTTTGCCTATCTTACCAAATTTCTTTTAATATCGAGCAACATGTGAAAAGAATCTATGTTTCCAATGTAAACAATTACTTCAAACGTCGTTACTCTAGCAATATGATTGTTACACGCAACTATACCGAGCAATCCCCTCCCCCTCAGAACAAGTAACAAATTGTAACACTTCTCTCAACTTCCCCTTCCCCTATTGCGTTACGTAACTTGTGAACACACCCCAAATAAGTTTAGGACAGGCATGAAGTGGAAATCGCCAAAATAGAGGAATGTTCACTGCCTTAATCATCTTCATGGAGATCTCAGAAATAGTGGCCGAACTTGAATTTATCATGAAGTGTATTTTTACAACAACTGCCGGAAACCAGTTCCATCGATTGTCGTTGATGTTGCAACGATGCGTTAATCGCTGCAGAAATGGTTCGGCACATTTGGAAGTAAAAATTTAAACGATGCTTCGAATGCTATTTTTAATATTGGAAATTTGAACACCAAGTGCCACACCTGGGTCAGCTGATTACGGGCAAGCTGTGGACGTGGATCAATCTGGTTGGCGACGCTTGCTTTTGGCATAGCTTATGTGACAAGCAATTCTCACATAAATAGTTTGGGAATAGTTTCAAGACAAAAGAAGGGCACCTGTCGCTATGAGAAAATAATGGATCAGACAGAGCAAGGCGACTTAAAGCGACTATCGGGTGTACGTTTTATTTTGTTAAGAGGAAAGAATAGATCTTGAATTCGAGATTAAATGCCATCGGTGAAGAACTCCCCAAGTTATCATTGGCACTATATTTTCCTATTTTGGTTGCAGAAAATTGAGCAACGACTATACCAGTGTTTATAAGTTTTGATGAAGACCTGGTAAGGCCGAAACGGTCACTTATTTGATTAAAAAAAAGTGTTTCATATTGGCGTTGACGGCGACTCTGTAGCTCTTTACTCCTATGAGAAAATCCATAAGCAAACGTCAGACTGTGCGTGAAACATGGCGGACTTTGTACTATCCTTTCACTCCACCGAAAATTCCCATAAGAAACTATCTAAATTTGCTGGAAGAGCAAATTTTTCGACGGTGCCGTCAACGCCAATAGTGACCATTACAACTAGAATGACTGAGAAAATTTGCAGAGTGGCACCGATCCTTTTCAGTGTGATCCAAAATAGGTGGAATTACTTGTTTTTGGTCATCATTCAATATTCCAAAGCTTCTTTCCAGCCGACTCACTTCCTGCGCTCCCTAATTTTTATTTCAGAAACATCAATTGCCGTTTTTACATAGCTCAAAGACTAATCAAGACACTTGACACTTCACCCTTTTTAAAGGACTTTGACCGTAACATCCGATGGTGTGATAACTTAAAAACGTTAAATCACATAACATATGTGGAACTCGGTCATAAAAAATCGACCCCATTTCAGTGATTTCAAGTGGTATAGTAGGACATCGATCTGTCAAACTGATTCTACCAGCTGTAAAATGGGAAAGGAGATCAAGGGGGTAGTCAATTCTATTAAAATATTTCTAACGTGGTTTATAATTCTATATCTTTTTAGTGCTCTTGAACTCATGTCTTTGAAATGCCATAATAATTAACGTTCTTTATTTTGAATTTTATAGCTATCGTTGTTTATTTATAATTATAGGGGAAATGGCTCTAATATTGGCCTGATCTAAGATTGGGCCCATCGCTAAAAATTGGAGAAACTCCAAGCGAATACTTGTTTATTTCTTTAAATTTGCGTGGGTAATTTTTTGATTTTGTATGCAACATTGTTTTCCATTAATTTTTTTTTTGTTGAACCAATTGCATCAAACTTTGATTTCATTTCATAACGTAGGAGGCAAAATACGACCGCACACATTTGGAGCTAGATGCATACAGTTTAAAGCAGCAACATGTTGCAACAAGTGTCCTGGTTTATATATGAGTGTTGCAAATCTTAATAAGCTGTCAAATTTCTACCGCCAGTATAAAAAAAAACAGCTGAATACCGAAATAAAAACATAGTGTGCATTGAGAAATTGAAGTAGGGTAGAGCGCTACTTCGTCGTAATCGCCCATTTCCGTTCTATCGATCAGAAAAGATCAATAATATCAATGATATCACCGTACACAAATCAATAATAAGTTTGTTCCGATGCGTTAGTTCATTAGCTATAACATAAATCCTATTAGAGCGCATTGTATGAATAATTACGCTCATTGTTCTCAAAACAAAAGAAGCACTCCTAACGAATCACCTTTTTCTACACACTACTAAAAAGTCATGTAAATATCGGTTCCCTGAGACCGACACATGTAAGCGGGCCTTTTGACATAATAATCAGTTCAAAGAAACGTGAAAATCAAGTAAATCAAACGTTCTCTCCGTCGACTAGCTGACGTTTCGGTTTGAGAACACTTAATTTTACATGAAATGTTTGTTTACGTTCTATGATTTACGTCCAAGATGGATTACGTCTCATGTAAAAGTAGTTATTTCTAAGTATGTACGTTTATCCGTACGACGAAGAAAATGTAATGGCGTTTCAATGTGCTTGGACGGATTTTAAACTCGTAGGACGAATTTAGAATCAAGAAGCAGTATTAGATTTTAAACAATATCTCAATAATTTGTGACTCTTTATCAAATCCAACGGTACGTATGGAGAGGTGAATAAATTTAAAAGTCATCTTTGACAGAAATATTCCACTAGTTGTTTAAACTCGTTCAGAAGAGAGAGACACAGCGCGGGTTGTGCTTAAGGTACGTTTAGACTATCTGATTTGTTGGTCTGATTCGAGCGGACAGCTCGATAATTTTGTCGGATGCAATGTTCGGATGCGTTCACACTTTTTGGACATGATGATTAGATTTGACGTTTGATTTGTCGAACG